GCCCAGTTTTGTCTAGTCGTTCATAACACACATAGAAATGTTGGTGTGTCTGTCCTGCAAGCTTTGACAGGGCACCATGTGTCTGCCTCAATGCCTAGGGGAGAGGACAAAGCCACCATCTCTTTACTGGAGCTGTCCAAACTCCCCAGTCCTTCCCTTTCATCCTGGCCAAGGCCAAGGAAGCAACAAGCAAGCTCCCAACTAAGAAATTTTCTCCTAAGCAATTCCCCCATCCAGTGCATTTATCAGAGTGATGCTAAGTAAGATGCAACTGCAAATCATTTTTAAAACGTAAGCTTCCTGTTGCCATAGATCAATTAAATCCTCTTGATTTTGTTGCCAGATTGACACGGGTATATTTATCACTCTTTGTGTTCAGTGTTCAACAAGCTCAGCAGGCAACCCACTCAAACCCCTCAGGTCCCTTGAGGGAGACAAGCGGGGTCACCAGGGAGAACTCTGTCCTTTCCCAATCAAAGGAGGAGGAACACTAAAGCTGGAACAACTCATTAACAAGCTCTTTGCCTTGAGCAGATCAAGGAACCAGCACTGGTTAAAGCATAGGGTCTCCTTATTGATCAGCAAACAAAGTAAAATATGAAAACCTCAAAAACAAGCTTAAGGAAGAGCTTAGGACAATGGATATTCAAATCTTCTTGGTAACAGAAATTGGTACAACCTCTCTTGAGGGCAATCTGACATCTCTATCAAAGCCCCCTGACAATTTTGTCTCTAGGAAAATGTCCCAAGCAACTAATCAGAGACATATTCAGCAATCAGTGTTACAAGGATATTTATAATAGAGATATTTACAACAGTAAAAATCTGGGAACAAACTAAATGTCCAACACTAAGAAATAAGAAATGATTAAAACAGTAATGCAGTATTTATTGAGATGGACAAATACCTCCAACACAAATGAAGAGCATCATTTTTTAATATTTGGCATTATGAAAGACAAAGAAATGTTAGCAATGGTGATTTCTGGGTTGTAAGTTTATCAGTGATTTGAGAGAAAGAGGGTTTTCTTCATACCTTTCCAAGTTTTCCAAGATTTCTACATCGATCACTGTCATTATAAGAAAAAATTGTCTTCAAAAAATAAAATCTACAGTATAATCTCATGCAGATGTAGACACTGGACTTATGATCATTACCACATTCAAGTTCAAAGGGCAACACTACTCCTGTCAGCTGTTACCTAATTAGCTCCCTGAACCTTCTGTCCCCATTTCAGGGTGGATGGCAGAACCCCATCCCTAGGAATCATGTCCAGGAAGAATGAGATCTGGGCTGAAAGGGTAGAGGAGAAAAATATTTGAGTCTTTTAAAGGAACAGAAATTTTATTCGGACCTGTTATCTTGCTTCCCTTTCCAACTTCCAACCCGGGCACACACTGGTCCCAGAAACTTCATTCCCTGAAACAGTCATAGAAACACACCACCTGAATTTCCATGACCTTCTGCATGGAGAGGTAAGCAGTTTAGTATTCGACAACCCAACAGAAGGAGAGGAAGTCTCGTGATAGTTAATGCAGAGACAAGACTGAAGTGTAATGGGAAGAAAAACATACACTCATATAGTGACTTACAAGTTCAGAGCTTATAAATCCATGACCACCTGCCCTCCAGCACAAACAAGTGGTCATAGGGAGTGGCAGCAAAGCCACCACTTTTCATGAAGGAGGTTAATCATGATGGTACACAGCTAGGAACTAATGGTAAGACAACAGGGAAGGATGTTCCTAATGGAAGTGGTTGAATGAAGCCTGGTGACTCCCTTTCAATGTCTTGGCAAGAAGTAATACAAATCTGGCTGCCTAAGAAATTCACATTAGTTAATGCATGGAATATCTCTGGAAGACTAATAAAAAAAGTGAGTAACAGAAGTTAGCAGGCAGAGGAAACCTGGGAGGCTGAAGGACATAAGGGCAAAGGAGACGTTTTCACTGTTGGATATTTGTTCCTTCTAAAGTCTGTGCCACGTATTTACTACTCCAAAAATGAATAAATGCAACTCCTTACCTAAAAACAAACTGTGGCCTAAAATACAGATGGACTGCAGCAGATTTTACAATCCATAGGAGCAGCAAAATCTGTATTGAGGGGTATTGTGTAAGGCAATACACTGACATGACACTGGCTGTGAAAAGGAAGTCTGCAGAGATGTTCTAAAAGGGGGAGAGGGGTAATAATTGTTCTGTATAGAACAAAGTGAGAAGAATTTTGTGTTTCTGGAAGCAGCTCTGGGATGAAGGTAAGTGACATGGAAAGGAGAGAAGGGGCTGGGAGAGTGGCACCGGGGCACATTGACCTTAACAAGAGGCATGGCCAGGAAGAAATTCTCTATGGCAAGGGAATATCCAAAAGATTTCCAGAACAATGCTGTCCCAAACTTGTCTCCTGCGATGTGCTACAAATACCACCCCACCCTTCCCCAGTCCACCTCAAACTGTCAGAAGTCTATAACGCACAGTAATATTGTGCTGGGAGTGTGCCAAGTGGGACCAGACAGAATGCCAAGAGGGAGACCAGCAGACAGAGCAGAGAGATGGTTAGAGCAGGGAGCTATGGTGAATCCGTGTGTAGAGCAAACTGACCAGAACATATGCTCCCCCCAAATCCCATGGAAACAGTAAGGGCGAATTAGGGAAAAACTTGCAACAGAATGTGGGATAGGAATTCACAATATTTCATCTGGATATGATGATCCCTGTCGCCTGGTGGGCTTGGGTCATCTGTTACACATCCACTTAGTGGGAAGGTAAGTTTATGACCTTCTTTCTCTTCCCTTCTCCCTATTCTCTCCCCTCCTCCACATTTTTTTTAAGAAGAAGAATCTAAAATGTCTTTAATTTTGATCCAGCTGAAGGCAAAGAGAGACCAGTGCCTTCAGAAACTCACATCTGCCTCTGACAGCCAAGAAAAATAGTAGAGCCTCCCCTCACCCCCCAGTTAGGTAAATAAGACAGTCAAAGGTGATCCAATCCCAAACATAACCGTATCAAGCTAGGATTGCTTTTCTCTATTCTGGTCTAGAACTCCCTCCAGTTTAACCAAGACCTAGTAGAAACCCTTCCCCAAACCCTAGATCTCACCCCTCCACTGCTCCTCCCTGCCCCAACCTAGCCAGAACCCACTGTGCAGATCACACACTGACCACAACACCGACAAGACTGCTTCATGACCAGATGTGATAGTTTCTCCAACTCAACACTAGGGAAATTTCTCTCCTCAAAAAAAAAAAAAAAAAAAACCGAAAATAAAAGTCATAAAAATAAAAAACTCTCCCTCTGAATCTACTTTACTAGCCTTCCTCTCACTAAATTTTCCTGCCTCCAGGACCCGTTATTTCCTCTAATAAATCCTTAAAGATCCAGCACTTCAGGGCCAAGAGCCCCTTCTCACCACCAACTCCGCTCACCACAGATACCCCTCCCAGGGTCCAGCCCCTTCTCTGTCAAAGGAAGGCAGGGCCCCTGAGTGTGACAAAGACGGCTCTGTTTCCTCAGACCTGACAGCCAGTCCCATGACCTGTACCCACTAACACACACTCCCTCATGGGGCCCAGCCTCCTCAAACCCACATCCGGGCTCCCACCACCAAGGCGGCTGCAGCCTGAGCCTTTAGAGGCCAGTCACAGAGGAAGAACTCCTTCCAGTGCCCAGGCAAAGGAACCCTTTGCCTGAGTCCATGCTGGGGAGCTATTTAAGGGGTGCACACGTGTCTGAGACATGGTCCCACCCAGGTTGTGTACCCTGTCCTGCCCTTGGGCATTGGGACCAAAAATCATCCTTGCTTTCTTTAGAGCCAGCATCTGTTTGTCTGGCATCCTCTCATCACTATGTATTACTCTGCAACTTTTCAGTTTCCACATCTCCCCAGAAGCATATGAACCCTTTGGGAGTCAGGAAGAGAACACACACAGTAACCACTCTCTACATAACCCTCCAACATCCCTTCCCTGGCGACCATGCATCTCAGAGTGGTCGTGTGCCACTTCAGCACCAGCCCCAGGAGCTCTGCTGGCTTAATTTAAAAGTCCCCTCTACCCACTGGTGCCTTAATGCCCTGAGTTTTGTCCATCTTCTCTCAAATTCTTAATTCCCAAGTGTCCTGATTTGGAAGTTGGGAGGAAAAAGACTGCAAGGCACGCAAGCAGGAAAGAGCCTGAGCCCGGGGTGGGATTTGGGCCCATCTCTCCTTTCACACCAAGACTGTTGTTTCCATTCAGCTCTCAAGAGGGCACTTAAAGGAAAAGCTCTGCATGGGCCCAGCTTGCTGAGAGGAAAACCACCCCCCTGACCCCTGCTCATTGATCCCACTGATACCCGCTTGCCAACTTCCCTTCCCCAAGCCCGTCGCAATTCATAACCTTTTAGGAAGAAATGAAATAACTGTCTGCAGCCTCCACTGGAATAATATAGAAAAATCACACTTACCTTTTGCCAAGATTGTAACAGTTGTTCGAGTTTCCCTCCCACCACTCTATGCCAATAGTGTTTGAATTACTTTGAAATACCATCTGGGAGACATCATCACCACAAATATTTAAGGTTCCAATTCATAAAAAGGCAAAGAAAGAAAATGCACACAAACATACACCCTACCTGTGATTTGGCACATCTTTGGGAAATGGGGTTATCCAGAGAAGTATTCCTACACACCCCCAAAACACTCTTGCTGATTCCATCTCATTCCTTCCCCGGGAGTATTCTAACTTGGCTGCAGGAGTATGAGTGAGAAAGGAAAGAACAAAGTGAAACTCTCCTAGGAACTCATGTGAGATGGACGATGCTCATGCTCACTGGTGCTTCAGTGGCACCATGAGCTCGCCAAAGAATCATTCGAAGCAGAGTCAGACCTCCGGGGTGCGAGTCCATATGTCTCAGATCCCAGCACCCTGTGCAGAGCTAGAATGTGTGGCTTTTACCTTCAGGCTGTTACCAGGAGTGCCGAGCCTCCCAGGCCTGGTCTGTGTCTTGTGAAGGTTACATACCTCAGGAGGTTAAAGCTCAGATCCAGCCTCTTTGCGAAATGTCCACAGTCCCTGCCGAGTTGCTCTGGAATTTCTCTGCAGTCCTGGCCTATGTAAGACACCTGGAAATTAAATAGAACAGAAACAATGTGGCAAAAGGAAATCACCCAGCTGCTCACAACCCTGAGTCATTGATCCGATGATTGCTTCCGCAACTTTAAACACACGCTCCACACACACACACACACACACATACACACACACAGAAAGGCCACATTTGTGACTGTTTTCCTGATCAAATCAGCTTTGGGGGCGTCAGGGTCTCTGCCAACAGCTCCCCTTTCCTGGTATACTTAGCATGACGGAGACTAATCCCAGCACAATGGGAACTGGACTAAAATTGGCCGATTTATGTGTCCAAAAAAAACCCACGTCAGAGCATGGTGATATAATCGCAGCAATCAGTCTCTCGCTCAGGGGCCTTTCCAACAGCTGCCCCTCTGGCTCTCACTCTCCTTCTCCTCCACTGCCCCCCACCCAAATACCCTGTAATGCACATTACCTCATAAAAGACACAGCAGATGCACTTACCAGTGTTCAACCTGCAGGGTGCTGAACAAATAGAGTTGGACAAGAAAACCTCCCCAGACGGCCAATACCATCCTGTTACCACTGTGTATTAAACGTCCGCCAGACTCTGAACAAAGCTGATTCAAAGGCGACAGGGCAACGACAAATGACCAGAGCGTCCAAGTCTGCCTCCTCCAGGGAGCCTTGTGCAATCAGCACCACTCTGCTTGCAGAGCTGTTCCCTTAGCCATTCTTTTACTTGTGTTACTATGAACCTAGTGTGTGCCCAAATATTAAGAGGCTGAACTGAAATTTGATCCCAAAACTTCTGACTGTGACAAGGCCAGAGGGCTTTCTCACTGCTCCAACCGCTCGGTTTCTTAAAATCCTGTGGGCAGGATTAGCAACTCATTCCAAAACAAACTCGCAGGTCAGAGATGGCCAGTGGATCATGGTACATGATACTGCCCTGAAGGACCCTTCCCTGAACTGCCAGGTAGAAAATCAGGCCCATCACTTGGCAACAGCCTGGATCCTTTCCCCCCACAAATCCACCTTCTTCTACGCATACAAAGATGTCTTGGAATGAGTGGGAGATTATGAGTGGGTTATGATTCCTAACAACGAACAAGACTAGGGTGGCCATCTCAGATATTAGGTTCAACCATATGAATTACTAACATTCAATCATTTTAGAACTACACAAACAGCAGTTTCATATGGCTTAAGCTAATACGAATCACACTTCACCCCAGCACCCTCAATGTTTCAAGTCACCTCTCAACCCTCTACCATCCAGTGGGAACAAACAGCTGACAATATAATATCCTTTATTCACTGTCATTCCTGATGGGAGAAAACGTAGAGAGAAGAGACAGAAAAATGGCTGACTCCAATAAAATATGTATGACTTGGGAATATGCAGGCTAAAAAGTAAAGGACTCTAAGTTCAATCTAGCAAGCTCCCACCTTTCTAAACGGGACTCGTCTTTCTTCAGAACTCCTTATGTGATAAATTAAGTTCAGCTTCCAAGCCAAGATGGAAATTGTACACCAAGGAGAGACTGCAGATATAAAGCTCAGTCTAGGGACTTCAAGTTCCCTCAGGATGTCCACTCGACCAGCAGCTCGTTTTGTATTATAAGTTCACATTGACCACCATCCCCCGCCTATGGTGCTCACCACAAAAACCATCCCTTTCACCCTGGTATGCACCACCATCTTGCACCATCATCATTCAAGACTCCTATGATATACATAGCAGAGAAGCTGAGCTTTAGATATGGAATCTGAGTTATTTCCTCATAGACTTACCAAAGGCTAAATCTAGCAGGGACCTAGTTTGTCAAAACTCCTCATGTTTTATACAGGGAACTAAGACTCCAGAGGCCTGTCCAGTGTAATATAGTTTTTAGTGATAGAGCCCAGACTAAGTCCTACACCAGGAATAAGAACTTCCAACTTGGGGGCCATGGAGTTCTTACAACTCCATAGGTGGATGTGGATTTTCTTCATCAACAAATGCCAGTGGCACATCTAGCATGTGTTTTGGCTTCAAATTGAGTCTTCCCAACTGAAAGGTTGAGAACTACCTCATGACATCATGTTGAAGGCCTCAGAAGAGTGTCAGACACTGAGGAAAGAGGGATATTTGCTCCCTTTTTCTCCTGTAGGATTCCACTTTAGAAGGAATGGCAGCACTAAAGAGAGCTATCATCACGAAGCTTTCGGATCATTCACAACATGTCTGACAAGACTTTCATCAGCTTGTTTTATTACCTGGTCTTAACATCCCAACATCCCAAGAAAACTAAATAAAGCACAACTTATTCCCATTCCACAGAGACAAAGACCGAGTCTCCAAAATTTAGTAGGAAAATCAACTTGATAAGTCATCTGCATACTTGGACCACCCTCTTGGTAAAGTGGAAGCTTTTTAGCAATGTGAGTTAAACCAATCACATTGAAGGGTTCAAATTGGCTGGGACAGGCTTAAATGGGACAAGCAGCCATTGCCAGACACTGCAACCAACACTCATAAGGAGAGAGACTTGTTTAAGGAGCACTCCTCAGCATAAGACATTACCTCTCAGGAGGTCAGGAAGCTTCCTGGAGCACATGACCACCTAATGTAAGCTACAAGGCCAGAAGACCCAGAACAAAAATAGTTAGCTTCTTCAGCAAAGAAGAGAAGGGATGTAGAAATTAATCTTACACAGCACAGAAGAGCATGTCCAAAAGAAGAAGTCATTGCATTTAGTCAATTATCTTGACTTAGACTGAACTGAGGAACCACATTTTGTACTTTTAACTTGCCTACTTTATATCAGCTGTACCCAAAGACTTCCACCCTGTGTGGAATTTTAGCAGAAAGTGACACCATTATCAGGGAAATTAAAACATATCAACTTAAAAGGCCCCTACAGAGAGGAACAGCAGAGAGAAAAACAAGAATGTCTTTCAGGATCCCCACACATACACACACCCAGCCCCTCTGAGGGGTTGCAGAAAATCACCAAACTGCAGAACACTGAGGGTTTCTCTTTGCAGTTGGGACGTTTAGGCTCCCATTTTTGAGGGTGGTATCTTTGTCAGTAATGAGAGAGATTATTTTATGATGCCTGCCCCCAGCCAGGCGTGAGGGATTCTTGATTTTAAATGTGCAGTATTGAAATCTCTGTCAGAGTAAAAACAGCCCTGGGCACTGGTTCAAGTCCCCGTGCTGCTACTTACTAGCTGTATCATCTTGGATAGGCCACTATCTTGTGGAGTCTGTTTCCTCCTCTGTAACCTGGTCAGACACTAACCACCTCCACAGGTGTTAAGAATAATGTAACAACTAGCAAATATTAAATGCCTATCTCCTCTGTTATCTATTCAATCCTCATGAAACAGCCCCATGAATCATACGAGTATATTATCTTTGTTTTACTTATATTATAGGAGTGAGATAACTTTGAACTACACAGCACTGTCCTCAGCACCTAGTGGCCACTTGGTAAATAGTTATTGAATCAGACCAACATCACTGTGGAAGGGATTTGTTATTCTGATGTCTCTTGGGCACAACATTTCAGTGCCCAAATTCCAGGTGTGCATGTGTCTGCAACTATATTGATGCCACTACTTTAATTGTCATAAACTGGTGGAAAAAGAAGACTGAGAACTTTATGCTGAATGTAAATGATGCATTCAAGCCAAGAGAAGGCCAGATGAAGTCAGATCCATGTTGAATGAAAGATTTTCCAGAGAAATGTGGAGGGAGAACTACAACACCCCCAAACATTTGGTGTTATCAGCCTGTGAACACCTGAACAGCAGGGCAACGGCAGGCAGTCCACAGTGGGGTCAAAGCAGTGACCCAGTTTCAGGAAAACATCATCATCCATCTCATTAAATCATCTTAACTTTATTGGTGGTGTGGGGTTTTTTATTTTCTATACTTAAATCATCCCTTTATTGGGGGTTTTTAGGTCTCTAAATATGAGCTTAGAAAAAGTTATATATGGTTTTCTGTTTGTCTATTTAAGCAATGTTGTGATTAAAACAATATTAACACTATGGGCTCATGGGAAGTCTCCTCCCACCTCCTTTTAAGGATCTACTAAAGTTTGAGAAGTACCATGTGACACATTCAAGGTGCTACCTCTTATAATGAACATCATTAGAAACTTCAAGGGGCAGAATGCTAAAAAGATCCTAATCCCAGGGCCTCCACTCAGGGTTAGAGGTTTTAGGAGCTTTTAGGACATGGAACACTAACACCCCAGAGACATTTTCTCAACCTGCCTTCTCAGCTCCTCCCCCTGGCAGCTCCACCTGTTTAAAACAGTCGCCAAGGGTTAAAAATGTCTCACCCACAGGTCACTGATTGCCCTTGGGCTGTGTGGGATGGGTTAAAAGCAGGAGGTGTAGGGAAAAATCAAGTTTGGGACGTGGGGGGAAAGAAAAGGAGGCACAGGAAAGTTCTCAGTCCTGTGGCAAGTCCTCCATGAAGCTGCAAGGACCTACACCCAGAAAATGCTGGGTCTGAAACGCAGAGATCTAGGATCTGAGGGAAAGGAGACCCTTCTTGGGCAGAGGCCCTCTCTCTCCTCCAGCCTTTCCCTCTAGGCGGCCAGCCACGTTAACTCCCAGAAGCCCCTTCCCCCCCCCCCTGCCAGCTAAAGACGACCCATCATTTTTAATCTCTCCCCCAGGCTGGTACCTCCCTGGCCTGCTCACTTTTGAACTCTGAGAAAGGGAGAACATTCCCTTTAGCCCAAAGTAATCTCCAAATCTAATTGTGCCTGACACCACCTGCCTTAGGCAATCCAAGAGGAGAGCTTCAAAACCTTAGAACCATTTCTCTAGGGTGTGCAAGGAAGGGTGGGAAGTAGGAGGGGTGGCTTAATCAGAGGTTAAAAGAAAGACCTGGCTTTTCCAGCAGGTAAAAGGCACCTGGTCCCAGAGCGGTTGGGTCCATCCCTCCAGCAATGACTAAAAACACCCGAGGCTTCACTACAGGGCTGAAAGCTAGTGCAGCTGATGTCTATCACCCAGGATTGAAACTGGAGTGTTGACATTTCCCACAGACAACTGTTCAAGAAATCAGGTGCTGAAATAAAACTGGAGCGCTACAGCCTTCTACCTGCCCTGGATAAGGAGCCTAGGGAGCCAGAGCCCGTCTGCAGTGGAGCCCCTCAGCCTAGCAGCCTGCTGGGACGCATCGTGAGTCCACTATCTTTGGTGGGACCCAGGCACTTTTGTCTTCCTGGGCTCCTTGCTCCCTTAGAAAAAAAACAGGCACACCTCAGAGGTAGAGTGAATTCTATTCCAGACCGCCACAATAAAGCAATATATTACAATAAAGCCAGTCAGACTGTTTTTGCTGGTGAAGGGTCTTGCCTTCAATTTATAAAAATTAAAAAATTAAACACAACATCCGTGAAGTTCAATAAAGCAAACCCCTCCCCGCCCCCCCCCCAAAAAAAAGGTATACCTGTATTTTACAACTGCACTGGTATAAAGGCTGGTATTAAAACGTTTTCTTTGACCAGGGTTCTTTTCTTCTGATTATGAAAGAAACTAAAACTTTTTTTGTGGGGCCGGAAAAGTACAGTGGGCTGTGGGCACTAGCCACTCTGCCTGATGAAGTGCACCCAGCTGGCCCTGGTCAGTGAGCGCCAGGAGCAGAGGGAGGTGGAGGGAACCAGGAGACCTTTCCTGCCCTCACAGCTAAGGGATGCGCCAGGTCCCAAAGGGTCTGTTCTCACCAAACTAGGCAGGCCCGTGCCCCGGACAGACTCCCCACCTGCTGACCTGAGGTGGAGCAGGGAGCCCGGTTTAACCTCGGGGCGGGGCGGCCCTCGCACCGGCGCTCCCTCCCCAGACCGACTGTGCCCCCGCGGGGGCGGAGCTGGCCTGGAGGACTTACTTGAGTTCCACTGACCGCGAGCCCGGCCATGGCGAAGGGGCGGACGCTCGGCTCCCGGTGCAGAGCACAGAGCGGAGAACGTGAAGGCGCCAGGCAGCGCGGGTCGGGAGCTTTAGTTCCGCACTCGGAGGTCAGCTGACCCGGCGGAAGGCCGAGGCGCGGGCTTTAGTCTGCACCTCCGCTCAGCTGTGCGCCGGCCGCCCACCCCGAGCTCGGCCCTCGCGCAGGTGAGACTCGTCAACCCACCGCGCGCCACAACAGGTGGCCGGCAGCGCCCCGCCGGGCTGGCCTGACCGCTTGATTTCTCCGTGCTTCCCGGGCGTTCCGGGACCCTATCGCGCCTGAGGGGGTCAGGGAAATAAGAATAGCGTCCCCTAAAACTCCATGCCCAGAGCTCTACTGCGTTAGTCGGGGCAGACTGGGAATAGGGGGGCTTCTCAAGAGGCGCCCCATCTGAGCGTTAGCGAAGGAGGGGTTAAAGAGCCATTCCTTTCCAATATTTCACAATCCGGATTACATAACTGTCTTCAACTGCAGGGAGGAGGGGCCTCTTGCCTGGAACTCCCCTCCCAAACTTTTGAGGGTAAGGGGGAAGTGGAGAGGTTGAACGGACACCTGGTCGGGTGGGGTTTCCATTTCTGGAGGAGGAGGCGGGAATTGAATTTCCCTATAAAATGCTGGCTCAGCTCGCGCGCACACACCCACACCCACCCCTCACCCCCACTCCACCACCGTTGACAGTAATAAACCCTGGAATGATCTACCCAAATTTCAGGCTTCTCTTTTTCTCTCCCTGTTCACAAAGAAAATGTATTTGTGAGGCTCCAAGTCATCAATGGGGTCAGACCACACACCCACACACACCTTCCCCTCATCTGGAAGTGAGGGCTGGACATTTCCTGCCTCCTGTCTGGATGAAATTAGGCCCAACCGGCAGGTAACTGGAAGTTCATGACCGTCCTCAGCGGAAAGGATCCAAATTTTCTCTGTGCCTATTTTTGCCTTTACACCCCATCCCCAGGATGCACAAAGCTATTACCAGATACCAATTCTTGGTCATTTTACCACCTATCCCCTATCGCAGCTACAGCCCAACCAGTTATGGCCTCTCCACCTGGCTCCCTTCATACTAATGGGTATAGGCACCGTTCAAATAGAGAACAGGAAAACTGAGTTCTGACGTGCCAGACTCCAGGTCTCACCGAATTGCAGGTACCTCAACTCAGTGGACCTATCTGTAGTTGCAGCTTCCCACCTCTGTCCAGGGGGGTGTTCACAAGACTTTTCATTGTTCTTTGTGTCTAAAGAGCACTTAGACACTCCTGGTTGTGAAGCTGAGGATGATAATTATGATCATGGCTAAGCATTGTATGGCTCTCATCGTTGGCTCAGGCCTGGTGCCGACACATTGTAATGTGAGCCCTTATTGTCAGCATTCAGACGAGTGGGGTTGACCTCTGAGGGTTGACCTGCCTGCCCCCCTGTCTGCTGGGAGGAGTGGACATAGCACAGTGGAGCTGTAAGAACATAGCTATAAGAATATTTGGCTGTGTTTGCTTTGGGAAGTTCCAGGAAACGCTGCAACAAAAGGTCTTTCAGGCCAAAAAAGAAAGCTTGCCCTCCAGAGATAAGAGGGATCAAAGGGACTCTTTTGAGGCCTACTGCCCTCAGACCAGCTCTTCACACTCCTTCCTCCTTCTCTGCTGGATGCACCCTCTCTGGTCCATTGTCCACTTTTGTCTGCCTTTCCTGCCTAAAAAGGAGGATGTGGGCCCAGTCTCTGACTGTCATGATAATCTGCCCTCCCCAAGCACCTTTCGCCTTGGCCTTCCTAGAAAGGCTTTGACCAGCAGGAGAGGACATGTGAAAACACACTTAAAATGAAATTTCAAACCCCCCTCCCACGCCCCTGCCTCCACACATGGCTGTCTTCTGAGTAGATAGACTCTTCTGCAAACACTACCTGCCAATAACACCAAAGTGGGCAGGCATCTCTTCCACCTGTCCAGACCCTCTCACTCCTGTTCCCTCCTCTACATAGTCCCAGGGCGATCATTCTAAAAGCTCTATTTGACCGTACCTAAAATCTTTCAATGGTTTCTGATCAAATAATAGTACTCATACAGTCCAAAATCTCTCTTATGTCCTTCAGGATCTTTTATAATTCCATCAATCCTTACCTCTCCTGCCTCTTCTCCTACTTCTCACACCCTCCGCTTGGCTTTTAGTTGTTAGTTTTGCCTAGAATGACTCTCGACCTTGTCTCCACTAGGTGAGTACATTGGGAAGGCCAGTTGACAGTAGAGGAGAGATAATGGGGGGAAATCACAAAAAATAAAGTTCAGGATAGCTCAGATTGAGGTTGGCTTTAATGTTTGAAATGTAAGCTGATGACAACAGGGAGCTATTGAAAGTTCTTGAGCAGGGTAGAATTTTGCTGAATGTAGTGGGGGAGGGACCCTCTAAAAACAGACTGGATTAACCTTCCTTACTCCCCTCAGGTTTTGGAAGTTAGTCTTCAGAACAGAAGAATGGGACAAGGAGAAGAAGGAGGGAAAAGAGGAGAAGAAGAAGGGGGGGAAAGGAAGAAAGAGAAAAAAAATCTCTATCTCTGGTCTAAGGAAGATTGGAAGAGGGGTCAGGGACTTCCTTCTACCTCATCACCTTGAACAAAAAGGAAAATTAAATAGAAATAGCATAGGTAAAGTTCTTCAGGTAATGTGGCCCCCCCTTTGGAAGGGGAGAGAGCAGATAGTGATGGCCCAGGAGGCAGACAGCTGATTCCTTTGAAATACAAGTTTACAAAAGTGAACAGAGGAGATAAGTCTTGTTGGGGCTTCTTCCTGGACACACCTCTTTCTGCCCCTGCCCCAGGAGCACTGAGAGAAAGGGAAGGTTCATGCAGTCACCTAAGTTCTTCCTCAGTCCCCTCACCCTATTCCATGGCCAACTGAGAGGGAGATGCCTGCGCCCTCTGCCTCACTCCATTTTATTCCACAGCCCCTCTACCCCAGCTTCCAAGGACCAGGCACTGTGCAAAGCACTGGGGGTACGCACTGACTAAAACATACCCTTGGGGAAAGATCTGTGCTCCGACATTTACAGTACTAAGTGTACTAAGTTGACAAGAAGCGCTGGAATTGTGACCCTGTTTTCTGAACCCAAAATTGAGACATGTAGCCTAATTTGTACAGGGCACTCATGAGGACCATGGAACAGAAAGTTCAAATCAGACTTGAACTGGAAATTCTGAGCCTATAAATTCTGGAACTCTTAACATATGCATATGGGGAGTGAGAAAGTTCATCACATACAGCTCGGCATTTCCTTATCACCCTTGATGAAGAGGGCAATATTTTATTCCTACTGTCATCTTTGTTATTATTATTATTATTATTCTTTGCCAGAAGAGGCCCTTTCCCCTAGAGTCCTTCCTCCATCACATTCCTGGAGACAAAAAGGAAGATCCTGTTTATTTCTAATCAAGGGAGTTGATTCTGGGGTCGGCCAGAATCAGCAAAACAGGAACTGATTCCTTAAATCTTCCAACCCCATGCATCAGCAGCTGAGAAGGACAAGGCCAATGAACAAAGTTTTATCAGCATTCCTACCTATCCTTAGCCGAATTTCTATTCACCCTGGCCTCATTTCTTCCAGGCCTAGCCCCTGGGCAGATTAAAATGGTTGCTGTAATTAATCAACCCTAGTTCAGACTCACCACATTCAGATTTCAATTTAAAAAAAAAAAAAAAGGCTGGATGTCTGCATACAAAATGCTCTTTGTTGCTGAGGCAGCCTTCTTTCAGCCTAAAGAAGGGAGTTTAGGAAGTGTAGGAAAGAGGAAAGGTTTCCAGGCCCTCTCTGCACATATGTGAGGGATGGAGGATGATCTGTGCTCCAAAACACCTCCCTAATCTAACCAGAACAAATTAAAATTTTAAAAATATACATTAAATGCAATCTCATTGTCTGGCGTGAGTTAGTCATTGCACAAATGTTAGTTTATTGTTATTATTTACTATTATAGTAATTATTATTATTATTATTATTATTACTTCTCAGTGCTTCCAGTTTCCCTTCTCTTTTGATCTTAAAAGATTTTCTTGTTGATGCCTCTATTAAAATGCAAATATTAACAGGGAGTGGGGAAGAGAGTAGGTTTGGGGTGTTGAGTGGGAAAGGGGCTTCTGCTTTTGACTCCATTTCTTCTGTGATTTTTGCAACATGCATACTACTACTTTTGCAATTAAAAAGGGAGGCAATTGGGATGAAAGGGTCAGGAAAAGAGAATTTAAAGTTGAAACTGCTGTTTGTTAATCTCTTAATTAGCATTATTTCCACAGATCCTGAAAACAGCAGTGAGAAACAAATCTTATTCCCCAATTTGCCTGGAACCTGCCCAATAGCAGGGCTCCAGAGGGAAGTCATCTCTGTCTTGGGGAGAGGGGCTCATATTGGACTTTCCGGAGAGAAAGGGAACATTGACCAGGAGAATCTGCTCAAATGTCTATTGTCCAGTGGGAGTGAGGGGAGCAGTGGCTAAGCCCTAGGTACCCTTCCGGAATCCCAACCTGGCATACAGAGGCTCTGGCACTTAAAGGCTGAGGAAACTCCTCCCACCTCAATTAAAATATATGGAAATGAGATTCTCAGTCCGTAGGTAGTACCCTATTGTCTATGATTTTCACAAGTACCCCCAAGTAATGTGGGTTTGTGATCATCCCAATTCACTGCTTTAGAAATCATCTACTCCAACGGCTGAGGGTGGAAACAGAGGCCAGAAAAGCGGAAGGGACTTGCCCAGTGTCACCCAGCAGATGAGCATTTGACCCAAAGCCAGAACTCTGATCCGAAAAAACTAAAACAGGACTGCTCCTATGTCCCAGGAAGACCAAAGTGAAGAGACTGGGCAGGAGCACCAGAAAGATGCCGTTTCACATCTAATCGCTTCTTGTCACGTTGTAACCATTTTCTCATATGGAGCCCCACGCTGATGGATCAGAAATAACATTTTCAAAGTTATATCTGCAAGGAAATGGCTATTAATGTTCTTCCTCTCCTTTTAGAGCGCTGAGGAATACATATTAATTTTCTCTCTACTTATATTGCCTATTTGCAAATTGTATTCACTACCCAGCTCCAATTTGTCCTACCCCTGAAGAGATTATGATGAATAAATGTGTTCCTGGAAATAAAATAAAATAAAAAATTTGTCACTGAG